TGGCTCAGTTGGTTAAGTGTCTGACTCTTGGTTTCAGCTTCAGCTCAGGTCATGATCTCAGGATTATGAGATCAAGCCCTGCATCAGGCTCTGTGCTCAGTGCACAGCCTGTTTGAGATTCTCTCTCCCTCTGCCCCTCCCCCACTCGCACTCTCTCTCAAAAATAAAATCTTTTTAAAAAGGGGGGGATTGGCTCATAGACAGTGCAAAAATGGTAGCTACTAGTATTAATAATCACATTACACTCCACTTATGGACCTATGCTTCAAGAGTGCTACTAGTCCCAGAGAATGAGTTCTACAGGAAGAGGCAATCTTGGCTCTGAGTTTATATTTTGTGCTCCAAGTTTTTTTTTCCAATGTTGTATCAAAGTTTTAGCTTGTTAGCCTTCCCCTATGAATAAGTCTTCTTCATGTGCATCTGAGCCCCCAGAGCAGCCCCTTCTGAAACTCAGGAGGGCATCCTTGCTTCTCATGTTGATTTTAGTATTTTCATCTCACCATCCACCGACTAGGGTATGGTGGTACAATATTCAACAGTTTAAAAATATTATTTATACACATCATTGCCCTCTAGTGCCCAGAATGATTTTTTTCCTAGTAATCTGCTTATCTCTTTGATGTTTAAAAAAAAAAAAAAATCTAGTTACTGATCCACCAGGAGGAAAAACCTTTTCCCGGGAAATGGGGGTTGATCCCACCAATGACACTTGATCTATCTTCCTGATCAAAGCATCTAGTTGTAATCAGAACCACCATCTAAAGCCACAGAGCAGAGATGGATGTTCTGTTATAGATTATCTTAAAAGTGTTGGCTGTATTGGGATGACCACTCAGTACAAACACATTAGGCACATTTCCTCTTCAGTATCCTTTTTTTTTTCAATACTGATTTTCAATATCCCTCAACTCTTAAGAACTTGGCCTCCACAGGGTTCCTTATACTTTTTATTTATAAATCTTTACAATAAGCATATATTATTTGTAAAGGGGAGAATCCACAGTGTTTTCAAGGGAGGGAGAAAATAATCTGGATTACTAAAATAGAAATTTTGCATTCCAATTCTATTCCAGGTTTAGATTGATTGACATCCTGAAAAATGAAGTCTGTTACCTGTTTTAATTGTGGGCTAGTTTGCTTTAAACTCGGGAAAACCTCTAACCTCATTCACAGGGGAGAATGGATGACCGGTTGGACTTCGTGCTTAGCTATTTGTATCTAGCATCTCCAACATTCCTGTGTGGTAGGTGTTGTTATCCCTGTTGTATACCTGAGATTGAGAGAGTTTACATAAATGAGTCCAAACGTGCACATAAGCCCTTCTCCAATCACAGGAAAGCCATCTGAAAAGCAAATGCCACTGAAGATGGAACAAGGTGCCACTGTGGTGTAAACAGTAACAAATTACAATAAACTCTGACTCAGAAACTGCTGAAGGACAGGATCTAAGTACCCTGACTGGTAGAAGGTAGGTGTTCAAAGATGACCTGAATTCTGTTGTTGCCTTCAGTAATTAAAGGCTAGTTATAAATTCAGTGACAAACTTACTCTGCACAGACAGAGGCAGGCTTGTGTTATTCAAATGCAAATCTGACTAGATGTGAAATCCTAAAAGAACCTTTAGCTAAGTAACTTTCCTGGTATTTCTTCAGTTTTAAAAATCTAGACAGAGGAGGAATATACTCAAGTCTGTGTGAAGCATAAAGCCAAATTGGACAGTGGACCTTTGGACACCCCTCTACCTGCTCCCCTCCCCCAACCTGGGCTTCTAGGTCTACAGGCCATCCCTCGGTGAAGAGCAGCGTTCCTTTTTCCTCAGAGGCTCTTCAAGAACGGTACCACTGGCACTTGAATGTGCATCTTTAAACACATTGCAGGACTGGGGAGTTTCTGGGACCATAACTTTAACCCAGCCTTCCATAACAGTCTTTTTACTTTCTCTTACAAAACATGACACTGCAATAACAGCAATGAACCGCTTTAGCCTTTTCACCTCTGCGGAAGCTACAACAACTTCTCCAGCATATAAAGGGGCTGGAAAGCTAATTTCCTGTGAAAGTAATACACAGCCTGGCCCTGGCATTTTAGTTCCCAGGAGAGCCGAAATAAGTCCATTGACCAGAACTCCATGCACAACTGTCTTTCCAAACTTGGTGTTTTTTGCAAAATCTTCATTTAAATGCAAAGGATTGACATCCCCCGTTAATTCTGAGAAGGCAGCCACGTCCCTCTGTGTGAAGGCCCTGCTGAGTTCAGCGCGGTCTCCAACTCTGGTGTGCATCTGCTCAATGTGCTGCCTGCTCACCACTGGCTGGCTCAGGAGGATTCTCCTCTGAAGCCCACCCGACCACAGATGATGGCGGGAAATTACGGGGAACATCTTCAGCAATCAGAGCTTTTAGACTGCTTCAGTCTTCAGACAGCATATTGTCACCAAAACATGCTTTTGAGAGCAGAAGGATGTTTCTGCAATTGAAGACTGTTCAATCCAATACTAGTTCCCTGCTATTCCCAGATAAGGCAAGGAGAAATGGAGAAACCTGTAAGAGAAAGAAAACAGTTAAAGAAATCTGGGGAGAAGACTGCACTGAAACACAGGGTGTGTGGAAATATGCCTAGTTTTCTCGGGTAAGCGAAGCTGATGCAGTGGCATCTTAAAGAGCATCCTTAGAGGTAGCCTCAGATACACAAGTGATCACAGTAGGTTTAGAAAGAGTGTTCTAATATTTAAGGCACCAGGCATTAAGCAACAAATGAAAAGTTAAGACTTTTTCACAAGAGTTCCAAGTTTCATCCCTAAACATCTCCCATACAATCTAAAATCTAAGTGCTTTCTCTCACATTTCCAGAAGCAATGTAGTCCTTATTCCTCCCTACTGCCCCCAGTGGATAATGTTAACCACACTAGATTTATGCAAGCAAAAAATGGGACATGTACTAAAAAGCAGTTTGAGGGGTACCTGGGTGGCTCAGTTGGTTGGGTGTCTGACTCTTGATTTTGGCTCAGGTCATAACCTTGGGGTCATGGGATTGAGTCCTGTGTCGGGCTCCTTGCTCAGCATGGAGTCTGCTTGAGATTCTTTCCCTCTCCTCTCCCTCAGCCCCTCCCCCCGCCCCGAACACTCGCTCGCTCCCTCTCATAAATAAATCTTAAAAAAAAAAAAGAAAAAGCTGCTTGACCCCTACTCAGCCTTGTTTGGAATATGTGAAGGAACGGTCTTTACCTGAATCACTCTGAAGGCACATTTCTTGCCTTTATAGGATCCTAACAGAGTCAAAGAGCTCCACAATTTGACAAGACCACTGTAGAGAGATCAAGAATGAATGCATAAAGATTTGTCTCTGTGACATCTCCCTAGTACTTTTGTGATGGGCCAGATAGTTAAATTAGGTCCAGAAAACCTAATTTAAATGAGAAAACTTAAGTAGATGTGCTGCCAAAGAGAGCACTAAATGAGAAAACTTTAAAAGTAAAAGCACATTATGTCATAGCAGAGAATAAAATGAACCTCAATTAGGAATGTTTCTAAAATACACATTTTTGAGTTTGCAACCATGGCCACCAATTGGGAAACACTACAGCTATAAGCAAATCATGAGTTTTGCTCTGTATAGTCTAAGCTCCTGGTGGATAAAAGGTCATATCTTTCCCAGTTTAAACTTCCAAAAACTACTCAGAGCTCACAATGCCAAGCCCCTTCTTAGAGAAGAGCATTTTTGCTCTATTTCTCCATCCACCTCTCTGCTCTGTTATACTACAAAGGGGCCTCTGTCGTACCTGCTACATATCCTCAAGATGGCTGACAGGGTCTTCTCTTCGTAAGTTAGGATGTCCAAGGGTAATGCTGCATCAACCTAGGTATGGAAAAATAGTAATAGCAGACTATTATTATCACTATTCTTTTTTTTTTTTTTTTTAAACATTTTATTTATTTGACAGAGAGACACAGCGAGAGAGGGAACACAAGCAGGGGGAGTGTGAGAGGGAGAAGCAGGCTTCCTGCAGAGCAGGGAGCCCAATTCGGGGCTTGATCCCAAGACCCTGGGATTTGCTATCATGTCACAGAGGAATTTTGCCCAGGGTTTATAAGAAGGTCATATACAACTAAAAGCCACCCTAGAAATTGATTGTGGCCTAGTAATTGACTGTTAGTGGGGCCTCCTATTAATCCTGTTCTATTTATGTAGTGTCAACATCATTCTTGGGTTCTTTTAGGATTTTGAACTTAAATGGTTTCTTGGAGTTGATTTTACTTCAACCCAACATTTCTCTGAAGATGTTGAGAATTCTTATCTCTGCTGTGTTTGTAATCCAAATGAAGGCAAGCCAAGAACAAAGAAAGTGAAACATTTGGGACCCCAGAGATACTGAAGTGCAACCCAAGAGTAACTTCACAGCACTCCCAGTCTGCTCAGATAGAGCCAGTTAATAAATTATGCCAACACATGAGGCATTCAGAGGGGCACAGCTGCTCAGAGTGACAGTCAACCCTTGCTAGAGTTATGTTTTAATATAAAAACTTAATAGATATAATTTAATAGCAATTTTCTTTGGGAGTAAATTGGTCTCTGAATCATACTCAAAGAAGATAAAAGAAAAATGACTAATAATTCAGCACCAAATGAAGACCTGTGGTTACCTAAGAGGTACCAGTGTGCATGTAGCAATTTCTTCTTTTTCTAGATGAATACGCAAGTCAGGTCCACCAGATGAATGGAAGCTGTGGTGAGGCTTTCTTCCTGCCGCTACTCAAGATTTGCTGCTCAGAATAAGAAATGAGCGGCATCTCACCAGTATGGAAATGTTTCTAATAGAATATAAAAATCTGTTAAGCAATTTTCCAGTACATTAGGCTGAAATTGCTTAAGATGGGTCTTTCTGTAGCAATCAAACATGACATAAATTGCAGTCTTAGAATGCCCCTATGTGGAAAGTGCTAGTACAATTTGGCCTGCTATTTTAGTCAGTACTTTTGTACTCACTTCCACCTGTGACCTAGTACAATCAAGGCCTCCTCTCAACTATCCCAGAGAGAAGTTCCTAATTTGAGGGTCACCCCTGCTTTCATCAGAAGAGCCACATTCTTTTTGGCATCTCCTACAGGGCTCAACATGAAAACAACCATCAGCCAGTTTCCCTTAGAGCCAGCTTTCACAAAGCAAGAGTGGCTGGAGCATCTCTGAGTAAAAGTAAGAAGTTATCATTGACAGAGAAGTATCCCTTCTTGCCTACTTCTCTAGTCCAACCTTTTATTGATTTATGGAGATCAAAGAAGACCATGGCACTCAGGGACCATTTAAAAAATGAAAATGCTCATATTGAGAAGCTACTTTTGAATTACACAGTATCAGTGACCAGCCAGGCGTGGCTGGTCCCCACAATACTTGGCCTACACATAACTTTTCACCTTTAGAATAACCCTTTTGGTAATTCTGCTCTAAAGACAAGTAATCACTGAGAAAAAGGGTAGGTGATGGTTACCTACATCAACTAATAATATATAGGAAAATGCTGCAACTGTAGCAGGAAGTAAGATCTAGCACATTCTGAATATAAAGAAAATTCTATAAAATGGTGGTTCTGAATACTTTAATGCCACATAACGGGATACTATTACAGAAACTGACAGTGCTGCAGTAATGGGAACATTGTAAGACCCCCAGGGAGATAGAGAAAAGAAATACTTTGGAGCCAGGCAGGTCCCCATTTGCATCCCAGCTCTACAGCCTTGGGCAAGTCACACAGCATCAGTCTATTTCCTTGCCTATAAAATGGGACATTAACTTTAATTCACAACGTTCTCAAAGATTGGAGTGAAATGTAGAAAACTGGCTCATTGGGGCACCTGGCTGGCTCAGTTGGTGGAGCATGTGACTCTTGATCTTGAGGTTATAAGTTTGAGCCCCACACTGGGTGTAGAGAGTACTTAAAAATAAAATCTTAGGATCGCTGGGGTGGCTCAGTCATGAGGACCCATGAGGGTCCTGGGATCCAGCCCTGCATCGGGCTCTCTGCTCAGCGGGAAGCCTGCTTCTCCCTCTCCCTGCCACTCCCCCTGCTTGTGCGCGCTCTGACAACTAAATAAAATCTTTAAAATATATATATAAATTTTCTCCCTTTAACCCAGAACAGACCAAGAGCCTCCAAGTGAACACACAAGAAACATGGGGCCAGTCATAGAAATCAGATGAGTGTGTTCATGGTTTATTTGGTTTATCATGGTTTTGGCCACTACGTAGCTTTTTAATTGATTTTGCTCTGAGTCATACATGGTTTCATTTACACCCATTAATGTACCATGACTAAAGATAGGCTTTATTAGGAATGCCAATGGTAAAATATGAGTTAAGTGAGAAGTTCGTGAGAAATACAAGAAGTGAGAACCATCATAAAATTGGTAATTCTGCAAACTGTCTGAAGACGCTCATTATCAGTGCCGTAAGCTGTATTCACCTTATCACAATTCTCACTGCCTCTCATATTTCAAAAAACAGTGTAATTCAGATCCCAAACATTAATATAATTTTTAATAATGTACTAATCTGAATAAAATATATTTTTTTAAGATTTTATTTATTTATTATGAGAGACAGAG